ATTTTAAAAAAAAACACAAATACATTCCAAATTGAATTTTAAACCTAGAATGACTAGTAGGGAAAGGGGTCATAAACTTGTTGGAAGTTTGATTAAGATGCATTAGAGATGTATTAACATCCATGATTGTGATAGATAAACATTTGTTTACATTTGTTGAGCATTCAGGCTTCTCATATTTCATGTCAATTGCTTGTTGTAGACTCCACATTCCTTCACAAATCATTATTTCACATATTGTTTTAAGATCTATATTTGTAAAAGATTGAAATTAAATTTTATTTTAGTATTTTTTCTTAAAAAGTTTGTCTCACAGAGTAATACTTGGATTCTAGTCAGAAAATAACTTATATTTATTTTATACATGGTTCAATGATAAAAATTTGATTATTATGAGAAGATTACAGATTTTTGCCTAATATATAATGTAACACCCCGCTCACCACTGTGCTAAATTGTATTTGGAGAATCTATATTTATTCAGGCCTTAAGGCCACCTGAACTCATTTAAATTTATTTCGTAGTCTTATATTGTAATTTGTAATTTTAATTTCATGCCGATTTTGTTATTTTATTTTGATTTTATATAATTTTAATTTTTACTTGTCATTATTTTTATTTGATTTATTATTATTTTTATTTTATTTGATTTATTATTATTATTTTAAAATAATTAATTTTCAGAAAAAAAACGAAAAAAGGGAAAAATCCGACTAGAAAACACTCGCGGGAGAGGGTCACTAGTGTGAGCCCCGTGCGCTATGCGCGTGTGTGCGCACGCAACCAGGTGTACGACGTGCATACAGTGCACACATCCCATTCGCGTGAGGCGCAAAGCTAGTCCTGCACATGTGTCTTATCATGCGTAGACAAGGTCAAGTGCCGCGCAGTAAGCTTGCGCAGATAGGCCTGCTCGCCTGGGGCCTGTGCACAGCGCCTCAGCGAGTTGTAGGCCTTGCACGCGGCAGGATAGGGCAGCACATGCAAGCTAATTCTGCAGCGCATGATGGCCAGATGAGGCACACTGTTGCCTCGGGCAGTGTGTCGCCGCTTGGGGTGTGCTGTCACCGGTGGAGGAATATTTTCCTCCATTTTTTGTGCCGTATCAAAATAATCCTTTTTCATTCAACACTCTCTCTCTTTACCAGATTTTGCCACTTGGCACAAATCCGACAGTCCCCATTTTTTATAAATAGAGACCCTTCCTCTCATTTTCTCATCACTTCCATTTCATTCTACCACCTTCTAAGAGTTTAGAGAGAGAGAGATGTGTACAGAACCCCAGCGAGCTGTAGGCCTTGCGCGTGGCAGGGTAGGGCAGTGCATGTGGGCTAAGTCTGTAGCCTACACCGACTGGGTGAGGCACACTGCTGCCTCGGGCAGTGTGCTACCGCTTGGGGTGTGCTGCCACCGGTGGAGGAATATTTTCCTTCGTTTTTTATGCCATATCAAAATAATCTTTTTTCATTCAACACTCTCTTTCTCTTCACCAAATTTTGCCACTTGGCACAAATCCGACGGTCTTCATTTTCTATAAATAGGGACCCTTCCTCCCATTTTTTCATCACTTCCATTTCATTCTACCACCTTCCAAGAGTTTAGAGAGAGAGAGAGAGAGAGAGAGAGAAAGGAGGAGAAGAAGAACGGTGTAGAAAAATTTTGAAAGTTCAGGTAAGAAATTTAGTATTTCTTTAAAAGTCTTAAAGAGTATTTCTAAAAAAATTAAAATAATAAATCTATGATTTTGTGTGATTTACATGTTCTATGTTTAGTAGTTTTAATAAAGTGAATTGTTATTGATTTCAAGCATGTTGTATGATTTATAGACACTTGATGATTTGCATATAAATAAAATAATAAGAATATGCTGATGTTATTTGAAAAATAAATTATAAAAAAAAGAGAAGTAGAATGAAGACTTAATGGTCTGAAATATGTATTTGTATTGACATGCATAACGCATCAAGTGTCTTGTTAGATTTTTTACCTCTAAGGGGTATTTATTCCCCCTCCTCCCCAATCTGTTCTGGAAAGATGTAAAAGAACTGCTCCCGCTGGATGACGACGTACCATTTGACGAGAGTGGTGACGTGAATATCTATTAGGGGTCACATTTGGCTAAGTATAGTGCAACTATAGAATATCTGATAGGACTACTATGGTTGGTACAGCTGTGGTCATAGTCGTACTATGGTTTGACAAGTTGAAAATGTGCTTGAGCAAATTGTCGTTATCTATATCTGATCTAGTCATTCCACATTGGTAGTCAAAAATTTGTATCTGCCCTTAGAGATAGAAGTCGAAACGATTTTGTGAAGCATAACACAAAAAATCTGAGCATTTTATGATTTATTTAATTTTCTCTATTGTTGAGTATGATGTTTGATTTTGATTGACGTGTCTGTGACATGATATTTTCTTAATAAATAAAATTATTTTTATAAGATAAGATATGACTTCAATATGATCTAATTGTAAATATTAATGAATAATTATTCACCTTTTGAACCTTACGATGTTATTTAAATATTATTATTTTTATTGAGCATATGAAACTCACTCATTCCATGCCCTCCTAGATGAGGAAGATAGTGAGGAACTGTCCACTGACCTACCCCTTAAAGTTATAAGGATCCTATGGATCCGTAAGCCTTGAGTGCATGATTCTTCCAGCACTCTGATTAGTCTAATAGCATAATGATAGAAGTGGCTTTTTTTTCTATTTTGATATTTTGTATTTTGTTACTACTTTTGGCCTCAATTATATATATGTGTAATTGGAACTCATATATTTTGTAAGAGATTTGTAATAATTTACTCTGCGGCATACAAATTTTGTCATGCACTCGTAATCTGTTTTTGTATCTGACACCCTCATGCCTTAATTGGCATTTGGGATGTCACAGATGGTATCAGAGTAGTTACGCGGATCAAATCCCTTACAACTGAGGCTGTAGGTAGAAAAACCCTTAGGATATCTAGGAAAATAAGTCATCTTTTCCAAATTAGACTATCAAATCGTGTCTTTCTTTATTTTATAGGAATGATGCGAGGGAGACCTTCCGTAAAACGTATCGAAAAATTCGAGGCCTAGGACCATCCAACCAGGGTCTAGTTTACCAAACTCTTCTGAGCCATCCAAGGATGGATTGCCGCCGTAGGACAAAACTAAGTCAACCATTATCAACACCCTGCCCCAGAGTACCGAACAACTGAGAGGTTCATCTTTCACAATATAGCAAGTTTAAGAAACTTAACTCGCCACACTTTGAAGGTGACCCTAACCCCTTAGTAGCCAAAGCATGGATCCTGCAAATAGAGAAGTTTTTCTCTATCTTACCCCTAGTAGTCTTTATGCTGAACAGTGAAGCAGAACACTGGTGACGACTTAAGAAGGAAGCTCTACCGACCCCTACCACCTGGGAAGTTTTCATGGATGTATTCTTTGATAACTGTTTCTTAGCCTATGTCCGAGAGAAGAAAAATGAGAAATTTCAGGATCTCCGCCAAGGAAATCTGACGGTTGCCCAATATGCAACCCGATTTGTCAAACTGTATAAGGTTTGCCTCTCTAATGGTCACCCCCGAAAGTCATAAAGTTAGAAAGTTTTTAAAAGGCTTTCGTGCCGATATCTATGATCAAGTTGCGGTGTTGAGACCCAGCTTGTATGCAGAGGTGCTAAAATATGCCCAGTTGGCCGAAGATCTCATCTTGGCCAGACACCAATGCATTGTCCGAGTCCGTACCTAACAACAACAATCCCAACAATCCAGAATAAGATTCCCCAATCTATTAAGTAGCCACCCCAATAAACGAATTTGAGTTGTCCTTCTCCCTGCCATACCTCCATCTACTACACAGCCTTCATCATCATCGGACAAAACCATCATTACCATGTTCATATTCCTGTCGATTTCTTTTGCATCACATCATTGTTGGTTTTGCTCGAGTCTTTTGTCCTCTCTTTCTCTTACTTTGTGCTGCCTCTCACTCTATCTCTATCTATTTCTCCCTCCTGTCCCTTGTTGTCCTTAGTTTCTTGTCTCTTTTAATCTCTCTTATCACTCCATTCTCTAATGCAAAGTTTCAGTGACATTTCATTGAAGAAACTCTTTTTGGGCAGGACTTTTATTAGGCTGAACTTTTGGTTTAGTTGAATTGGGTTTGGATCAAGTCCTGGTTAGGGGTTTAAAGTTGTGCTTGGCTTACTAACCTCAAGGGAATCTGCTTAAAATTTTCAGTTGAAATTCACATTACATTACTGATAGTTCCAGAGCTGTTAAGACATAAAACTCCAAGCTTCCAAAAGATTGATGTCAAGGTAGCTTTTTTTAAGACCAAAAAGTTGATGCACATTACACCATAGACATTTTATGGATAGAAATGCTTCATAATTACAAAGACAATACATTTAGAGTTAATGTGTACCTTCTGTACGGACTATTTCATTTTCATTTGTAAAATAAGTTCCCGTAGAATAGGCAATGCATCCAATCTCAAACTAGAAAGAATTATAATATAATTTTTTTTTTCTGAATTCACTTCTGCATACAAGAGGGAGTGCACTGACAAACTTGCAGATGCTGCAGCCTCTATCCCTGCACCTGGTTTTTTAATACAAATCGAAGCCATACCAAATGAACTCAACCAATAGATTAAGTTCGTATCATATCAAATCAAATAAAAAGACTAGAGAGTATCATCTAGCTTGTCCTGCTTCAGTCTCTGTTATATCAGCATCTTCTGTTTCACTGCCTAATTTGACAATATCTCTCACAAGAATTTTCCCTTCTGCTCATAAGAAAATCAGAGAAAATGAGAGGTAATATACTTGCCAACAGCATGTTTGAACTTCAAAAATGCATGTAACAAACAAAAAAATATGAAACCTTGTTAACATCTTCAAGAATATATGAATTAAATCATTCCGTGTTTGTTCTGCACTAAAGACATGTTTACCCTCGTTCCTAGAATATTCATGATAGTTTTTATAATTCTTAATTGAATCAATTTCGTCTCTCTTGATTTTTTATTCTAAAAATAGACTTCTGATTTTTACTCGTCTAGGCAGGAATCACAAATATACCAATATTGAAATGGAAATAGGCTTGGAATACCACTCTTAGATCAATCACATATCACTTATATAGCGTTCTTGTTTAATGGAACAACCACTGTTTTTATATTTATGGAAAAAATATATATATTATTGATGAGGAAAGAAAATTGCCTTAAAAAAAGGAGGAAAACAAGCCCACAAAAACAGCAGAAAGTACGTCTCCAAATCCTCAAGCAAAGCAAAACGTATAAGATACGACTCCAACAAGTAAAACCCTCCATAACAACCATGACAGATAACTAAAAGTGAAATCTTCAAGAAATAACCTGTTAGACCTATTGACCAGCTCCTAAACAAAAATTGGCTAAAAGTTTGCATTGTATGGACAAAGAACTACTTTTTCCTACCATTTTCTTTGAATCCACCATAATATACTGTTAAGCCAAATGTGACAGTAACTGAATGATATAACCATGCTTTTCAAGCCTTTTAATTTTGCTAATAGGAGGTTGAAAAGATACACAGGTCTATACCTTTTTATACTCATAAGTAAATTATTTTCTCCATATTTTTCCGGGTGGTAGAAAGACCCAGGGAGCTAGGCAGTTGGATAAATTACCAAAACAATTACAAGAAAAGATTTTATGCATCCAAAATCAAGCATGAATATTACAACAGAATTTTCATCAAAAGTGGTGTCAGAACAACCAAAATTTATGTGGAACAAACAAATATACGAATAGCAGGGCCAGACAATTAAAATCTGCCACGCAAATAAAAAATAAGGCTGATATCTTTCAGAAGTTAAAAGATTTCAACTAATCAAGCAAAGATTGTAGAATGAGATAAATAGAAAGAGAATTTAGTCACTGACCTCTATCTTTGGAAAGATTACTAATAAGTTCCTGGAAACCCTCTTTGCACAATGTATCCTTGAGGTACATTGCAGCAGATGCAACCTCCTCTGGAGTAACTTTTCCATCTTTATCTCTGTCATACAAATACAAAAATGTTTGTTTGATATTCTTTCCCATTAACAAAGATAAATAAGTCCAACATCTTGATAATAAAACTAGGTTCTTGTACTAAACCAAAAAATTGAAGCTCCAATTTATAGAATACAGAAAGTGTTGAAAAGAATAGGCTACTTCACAGAAAATGCTCTATTCGTGCATTTTTTTTTTGAGAAGTAATCATATATTCATACATAATCACCTTTGTAGATAAATGCCATAGCAAATTCAATCTGGAACCTTAATAAAAAATGAAAACTGCCAGAGCCAATAAACAAACCTATCAAGCAACCGCCAGCGATCCCCAATCTTGTTATCAACTTCATCAATTTCTTTTTCAAGCTTTTGGAGCATAGACTCAACCTGAAATGATAAAAAAATGCATCACCACCTGTCCAATTATTTCACACCGATATCATGATCATTTAAAATCACTGTCAAACAATTCCATGCAAATAATTACCCTGTCTATAAGTGCTGAAGAAACCTTGTCGCCAATAGCCTTTACAGCCCCCCGATCACTATCCTCCCTGGCAGCTATATATGCCTTCTTAGCTTCTTCCTCGCCTTCTGTACCCTCTTTCTCCACCATGCTGTTATATAGGTCTACCTGAATATGGCAGAGCAGCAACACCCTTATAAAGAGACAACTCCAGAAACTTTTAAATGTGTATGGGCAAGAAAGTGATAATTATAAAAGTCGGACTATTTGGGTTCTTCCTGCAATATTAGGATCTTAGAATCAGAAAGTCAAAATCTACTCATGCAAACAGGTTAATGAAAATAATAAAAGAGGAAATATTTCGTATCCTATGTGGAAAGAAATCCATATTGGGAATCACATTTATACACATATAAGCAAGAAAGCTAAGTTACACAGACTTCAACAGGCAACCAGCAGAACAAAGGTACATAAATGAAATTGTTTCAAGGGAAAATATTCAGAATGATGTCCAGCGGAAGTACAAATACTTGATTTTACTGGCAGTTTGAAAACTGATCTTTATACTGAGGGAAAAGATCTAACCAAGATCCAAGTGGCATGCAAAAATATGACTAGAAAAAGGATCGTTTTGTTTATTGAGCATCTTGTGCAGAATTACCTCCTTTCTGACTAGCTTCAGTAACTCTTGCCGCTCCCTGCTGACTGACTAAAATAAATAGCAATAGATTAGTCAGGATGTAATTACATTGAAAGAAAATGAAACATATAAGGGTTGTTTTTAGTCCTTACAGATGCAGAAGCTAAAACAGCCAGTGCACGACTGAGCTCACAAAGCTGTTCATGTTGTTCCAGGGTTTTTGCTTTTGCCTTCTCTTGTGCTTCTTTAGCTGTTGGAATAATCATTTCCTCCAGGGCAACATCTTTTTGGCTGCTAACAGATTCCTTCATCTTAGCCTGCTCCTCTTCCTCTTCCTCTTCCTCCTCCTATGTATCAATTTTTTTTTTTCAAAACAACCCACAAGAGAAAGCACATAGAAGTGACAGATTCTAGAACAAGAATTGCATAACAAAACTTCAAACTCGTGCTCGGGTTTTCAAGGAAGTTTAACAGGAGTTTCAGAAAATTAGCACGACCTAACCACCAAAACTCTAAATTTAGATGCAAGAACCACAAGAAGCTAGCAGAAAGCTAATGACATTCTTAATATTAATTTTAAGATATGGCCTCAGATGCATTAACTCAACTACGTAAATTCAACAAGCAAAATCAACAATTCAGATATGACTGGAACTTTTGTATTAGGAAAAGAATTATTTACTAGACCTTATTTCAAAAAAATAAAAATTATTTACTAGGCACCAACAGAGTGCTGCCCAAGAGCAAAATTGATAAGGACCAAGCAGATGTGCAGAATAGGATTCTTATTTCCACCAAAATCATCTTCTCCATGTATCATTAAGTTTCTTTCTATTTCTATTAATTGAATTTCTCACTCTCTCTCAATAGCTGAACCAAAATCCATTACAAAATTTTGGTTCTGCGTTTGTTTCAAAAGGGAGGAAAAAAAACAATAACCCCAACATAGTCTCAGTATAAGGAACCAAGTCCCTATTCAACGTCCAATATCATAGGCTTGAGAATTATATTATCTACTCTACATAAACTTGCCAAACACTGCACCATAAATGAAGTAATAAAAAAAGCAATAAAATTTTGTATAATCTAACAAACCAATAAAAGGCTCAATCAACTAAATCAAACTAGTTCATTCTTGTTTCTCCAGCTGTTTAATTTTTTAAATAACTTCTTTTGCTCAGATCCATTGATAATCAAACATATGAAATTCGAGTTGGTTCTCACTGAATCTATAACCACAATCAAATTGTGAGAAAGAGTTGTATGACAACAGCAAGAGCAATGTTGAGAACAGCTGTATAAGAACAGAAAGCAAATAAAGTACGGCACACTCAACCTTGATTAGTTCTTCTTGCATTTCTAGGAACTCCAATTTCCTCCTCCTTTCTGAAACTAAATCTTCAGATGGCAAAGCTGTAACACTGACAGTTTCCACAACTTCATCTGGCAGCGAGGAGAGTGTAGCTTGAACAGCTTCTTCTGGTTTAATTTTTCCAGAAACAGAAAAGGCTCTGCAAAATGTGAAGGAGATAAGAACAACTGCTGTTGTGTGTTGTCCATAAAAGTATGAACAGGTGAGCCAACAAATTTACCTAGAAAGGATCAGAAGGGAAGATGGTACAGAGTGATTGAGAGACAAATCCAGCCAATCACACAACTGCAAAGAGAAGAAAAATTTATGTGCCAAGATACTGATTGCCTTTCTTTTTCCTTCTACTATGAATAGTAAGATATGCAGCTTTTACTATGCCCTCCCTTCTCAACCCCACCCCCACCTCAAACATCCTTTCACTCAGAGGTTGGATGTTGAGTGATAGATAAGAAAGTCCAAATAAGAAAAAGAGAAAAGAACTTCAGTGTACTACCATTTGCATAGAAAGGAAACCCACGTGAAGATGATAGTTGGAAATGCAACGGCTTTCTATGTTCCTCACTATTCTAGAAGAGTGAGAGATAGATGCTCAATTAGCATGCAAGTACCACAGATTAAGTATTACATATAAATGGACTCCTTTCTTAAAAAGGATTCTTATTTTATTCACTAAATCTCTTCTTTATTGTAGGCTAAAAGAAAAGAATTTGCAAAAAATAAATTAAGCATCACCCAGGGCAGGGTCTTGGCTTTAGTAGTCAAGAGACCCTGTCTCATGCTAATGAGAGGGTTGACATTTTTTGTGCCATATAGTCCATTGTCACCTTCTATGCCGGTTTGTTCTGCTATTTATGCTTTTATTTTTGCTATTTATGCTTCACAATAAAAGGAAAAATAAATCAACATCAACCTGTTGACGCATCTCCTCCACTGAAACTAATCCAAGTAAGCCTCGATCTCTGCAGGCTTGACGAAGCTCTGCTTCTGAAAGGGACTCCACACCCTCAGCTTGGATCATTTTATCGTCCTTCTTGATCCTGCCAAAGCAGGAAAAATGTCAACTTTCCGTGTTCTATGGAATTTGAGTAATAACAAAAACTGTTTCCTCTTCTTTTATTGGTAAGTGGATATTTAAGACTAAAATGGAGTTTGAACTAGGAATCGATACCCCAGCCTGTTAACATACAAGCTAAATGTCTAATAGTTTTATGTGTTACAGTTGACCTTGCCATCCAAGATCTTGGTGTTGCTTCAGGTGTCAAAACAAAAACCTCAGAAGATTCGCCAGAATCCAACACCCCTAGGATAAAAATTTAGGCAATAAGGACATATATGCTCTCTGCAATTGTCCCACAAAAAGGTTATCAACTAAAATTGACAAATCTTTCACTCAGGAAGACATAACACACTTGTCATCATCTCAGATGTTATTCAATTAATTTCATATCAGAACATAGAATAGACAGATGAGGAAAAAACAAAAGAAAGAGGAAACAATGAAAACAAATGTAGAATGTAATCATTGTTGAGGAAACATCTATAAAAATTATAGAATTAACGACAAGGCTAATCCAATAGCTCAAGCCCTTAACTTTAAAACCAATTAGGCATTGACTAGAGATCATAAATCCATAGTTCTTTTTCCCTAAAATATTACATATCCACAGTTTCAGAATATTTTGCAGGGCTAGCACTCAAACAAGTGTAAGACCTAAGATCACAGGCTAAGACGACAATCATGTGACCCTCCTAGACTCAGGAAAAGCAACAGTATATTCTTACTCCTGTAATCTCTTCCGTAGCATGTAGCGTAAATATGCATCTGTTCCATATGGGCTGATACCCATGTACTTGCACATATTTACTAACCGGGACCTGTATTAAGAAACCAAACAGGTCAATCTAAGTGAAAACTACAATTAGCCAATGAAGAAAGAGAGAGACCAACCTGCTAATGTTGTCTAAAGTGAGTTCATCATTGAATAACTTTGCAAAGCCTAAAATTTCATCATTAGAGACACGAGTACCAGTTCTAACCTGTTTTTTTAAATGGGAGAATAAGTTCCACATAAATTTTCTCTTCTACAAAAAAAAATGTGGGTGAGACATTATCCTAATTTTGGAAGGAAATAGAAGCGAAATTCCCTACACTATTCATAAATTCATCAAGATCCTCTGCTGTCTTCTTAATTTCTCCGCTGCGTGAGTCTTGGACTTCCTTTGCCATTTCTTTGACAGTATCCTGAAGAAACTTCGCATATTCCATTCTTGCATTTAGCCTTCTCTTCAATTCCTCCTGCAAAACAACCACTTCAACTGAAACAAGCATATCCCAATTAACAAACATCCCAGTTGCTGTGATTAACCAAGCTCAAACCAATTCATAATTTGCTCCTTAGTTCTTTGTTTTTTTTTTCAAAGGAAATGAAATATGTTAGAAGAAGAAATAGGAAATACAACCTGTATAGAAAGATAAGCTATTATCCAAAGAGACAAACAGAAAAACAACGAATAGAATAAACAAAAGTGTCAATACAATATCAGACAAACCACTGCCTCCATATTGTAGAAAGAGGAACCACTCTAAAGAAACCATGCGCTTTTGCCCAAGGAGTAACATAGCACAAATCATATCACGAGGATCATCAACAAAATAAGGTTAATGGAAATTTCTTGCATTCCTCTCCAACCAGAGCATTCAATATCCAAAAAAGATAGCCCCTCTCAAAAGAATAGAATGTTCCTCACTCCTCTCCAACATAGAGAAGTAAAAATGAAAATCTCCAAGTTTGGGGGCCACACTCAACCAAGCCCAAACAAAGGAAAATTCCAAACTTTCTGAGCTATCTAAAAATGCAAAACCCAGTGACTTTTATGTTCCAAACTACAAAAACAAATGAAGCACACATCAGAGGAAGGAGCAATATGGAGCCTAAGCACACCTGAAGCAAATCATTTGTATAAAGGGGGCCGTGAAGAATTCTTTTTTAGCCCAAGAACAGGTTGAGTTTCAAGAGATCATTTGGTCAGACGAGATATACTTAGCCGTCTCAAAAAAGATGGTTGAGTCAGCATTGGGAATTTAGTGCCAAAAAAGCATGTACTTTATTGCCAAAGTAGTATCTTGTTTTCTTCCAAATATCTTTCTTTGCGGCATTGAGTGACTGAGCAAATATGGATAGTAAGACTGGATGGGAGTGACCTCACCAAAAAGGAAAAGCATGACATGTTTCCAACAATCAAGACAACAAACTTCCTATACAAAGGTGATAGAGGGTTAACACCAAGTGGAGCTCCCAAGTGATAGCCAAGGCCAAGTCAACATAGAACTTCCAACAAACTCATGCACACCCTAATTGCCTAAGACCCAAAATTGAAACCCACTAAACTGCTCTTACTATGATTAATACATAACCTGGAGACAAGGTTAAATTCTCGCAAGATGCAAAGGACAATTCAGAAGAAATTAATCTAATGGAGCAAAAACAAAATAGTACATTAGCAAATTGAAGATTGGACACCCCAACGAAATCTTCTCCCACACTTAACCTCATAAGAAATCCTCTTTCGAAACCACAAGATAATATATGACTAACCCCACACTGCATTTGAAAGCATGTCATATAAAAGTTTAACTTAAACGCCAGATTCTTACCTCTATCTCTTTTGACATCCTCACCTTGATATAGAATGGATTATGCATAAATAGATTAGAAGTTATAATTCTTTTAAATGTTTTTATTTCAAAAAAA